TCCACATGCACTTTATTTCCTGTTGGTAATCCCGAGATGCTGCACAGGCTTAGGCTTTCGCCAACATGGAATACAGTGGCAAACATCCTTTAACTGATCACATTTTACATCCCTTCAGTGTTAAGGCTTGGGCACACTTGTAATATCTAAGATTTACAAAATTAAGACAGATTTTGTTTTGAAATTGAAGCTGGAGGATGTAGTTATCAACCTTAAAGAGTAACTAACAACATTTCCCAGTCCAAAAATCTCCTTGAATTATCATCTCTGTGGTAGTTGAAGTAAATAATTTCTAAAGAACTAAATGAATTCTGTTAATTCCATGCCACACTGCTTCTCAGGCTTTGAAAGTGTTTTCTTTCTGACCTCATCTGTCTTCGTCTGACAATTCAAATTTGTACTTTTTATTAACAGTGAGTCAGTCCAATTATCTGTTACTGTTTTTTTTTTCAGAGGAAGGTGTTCAAGAAAAAGCTGAAAAAAGATGTCATTTCACAGCTTTCAGTAACATGCATGCCCCTTTTATTTCTTGGCCAAGAATATTTTTTGCTAATATTAATGTACAAGAAATGTTATAAAATCATCAGCATCTGATGAGGCTGGATGTGTTTTTCTTAGTGGACTGCACAGCAGACTGGTCAGGACATGTGACTTTCAACAATATATAAGCAACATTTCATACCTGACTATGCACTTCTTGCCCAGTGTGTTAAACTGAAGCCATAAAGGTATTCTTTTCTCTTTGACTGACATGGGAACATTTTACCACTGCTGTGCTGCTAAACAATATAAATGAAAGTATTTTTGCTTTTATTAGTAGTCAAGAAGAAACTTTTCTGAAAACAAAAGCAATCTTATTGTTATAAAAATATACTAAAGTGTTCTGCAAAGGGATAGGGGAACTCATCTTGTCCTACATGTTTCTTAAAACCATGACCCATTACTCCCAGGATTTTATTTGGGAGAGGATGTGTTCATCTCTTCTATCCAAGTTTAACATCAGTCACCTTATAAAGTCTTCATAGGAGCTATATTGTCTTCAGCTGATCAGACACAAACTGGTTAACTCCAGCTTTTTCAAAGGTGATACCAGTACGCAAGTTCCTCAACACTGCTGGTTGTAGTGAATGTTGTTACTTTTTGCTGAACATCCTGCTAAAATAAATAAAATATGCTCCAGCTAAATCTGGGGCATTTCATTGTCCAGCTCCTCTACAGAGACTCTTCTAAGCAAACTGACAGGTCAGCTCTCATGGGAAAATCTTCCTTTGATCCACACTACTCTTGTCTAGCTGCCCTGAGGAGAACACCAGCTACTCCAGTTCGAGGTCATTCAAAACGTGAAATGGGACCCGATGGTCAAGTGCTATTAGTTCAAACTCATGACTCAGTCAGTAAGCACAGATTTTTTTAAACGCCTCTTTGCATGAAAATTGAGTGTTTCAGTGCCACATAAAAACTATTACAGACTTGCTTTCTGTTCAGCAAAGACTACAGTGCTATTACCACATGCTGTTGTCTTTTGACCAAGACAGTACAAGGGCTGGGATCTTCCAGGTGCGTTTCCCACTTGTAACAGAAACTGGTGATGCAAAAGAGACATTTTTATTGCGTTATTTTTGTTCAGAAAAGCAAGGAAGTCTTGTTTCTATCAACAGGATCAGAAACTTTAAGCAGCTCTGCCCAGCTGTTGGAAGCAATTCTTTCACATTTCTTCTTCTCCTGCAAAGACAGGAGACCTTTTTTCGCAAACTCAGTTCATTTTTCTCTTTCAGCCTCCACATTCTTCAGCTGCAATACTCTGAGTTCAAGGCCTCTCAAAGTCAAACAGCTAGGAAAGATGAGCTGAGCACTCCTTGAGTTGCAGAGCTGCTGCACAGAAAAGGAAAATTGGATTTTCAAGTGCAGGACAAAGAATACTTTTAACCTGAAAAAGTATGAAAATTACTTTTTGTGTGATATTACAAGGCAGCTTTAACTCTGTGTGGAACTTCACTCTGAATATATTCAGTGGGTTTTAATGTATTTTGTATGGGCATATGATAATTTACTTTGATGCATTACCACAGTACTGAGAGTTCCTGGCATGAGCTAGCTGCTTACTGCCTACATTTGTGCACTGAATTCAATCATAAAAGGAAATCAAATACTTTACACTTTATTAACTAATGCTAGCAGAAGAAACAAATATTCTTCTATAATTACAAATCAACATGCTTTGAGTAATTAAATAACATGCAGATTTGACTTTAAACTAAGTACATACTGAGAAAGGTCATGCACTGTAAGACAATAGTTCAAAATCAACTGGTTCAAAATGACATAGCTTTCTCTCCCATTTCTATTCAAGTCATAAAAGGTTCCTGGCTAACAGTTTAGTGCAGCATCATTTTCAATGACAGGCATGTGACATGACTGGAACACCACAGACACACCACGGACACTGTTCTGATAGAGGAAGTCACAGGTCGGTATCTCTTTGAAGCACCTACAGCCATGTGCTTCCACCACTTCTGGGCTGATTATTCATAGTACCTTTTATACACTCTTGACCATCGTTAGATTCCTCATGAGTTGTCAATTTAATTTTTTTTAAAATAAATTATACCATACACTGAAGTTACAGGGGACTTGATCATAAAGAATTACTGTGGGAAAATACTGTCTTTATGCTGTTTTCAATCCATTACCTTTGACCACATCTTTCCTCACTGATCTTGATCTGTTACTGCCCAGGATCATATGACAAAACAAAACATAAGATATACAAGCAGATACATAATCTGCACAACTCTTATCTTTTTTCCTAGCCTTACTGAGAAGTATTTGTGCATATGTTCCTTTGCTTCTTGTACATTTAAATTCAGAGTATGACTAACACACTATTGACCAATGCCACATCTTTAACCATGATGTTATAATGTTTATGAAATACACTTGTGATGCAATATTACATACTTTCTGAAGTAGGACATGAACTCAAGAGGGGAGAGGATGTAAGATTTGTTTGCATCTGAGAAGGAGCTACAAGGAGTGCAGTACACTGGAACTGGTGAGCAAAAAAAGCTCTTTCTACAGCTTCTACAGAAATATCACTGCCCTCCTTTTTTAAATACATAAAGCAGTAGCTTTGATTCAGTGTGCCTTCAAAATTACCCCATTATCTGTGCATTTACATTACTATCTCTTCTTTTGCGTTTCTAAAATGAATTGCTCCAGTACAGTTCCCATATTGCTCAAGTGTTAATTTAATGGCAGTTTCAGAAATGACAAATAGGGAGAGCAGGTCGTATCATCATGCTTTTGCAAGTTACTGCTTTAGAAACGTACATTCTTTTTCTTTAAAAAGAACCTCACAACTTTGACCACATAAAAAAGACATCTTAGAGATTTAGACCTAGTGTTACTACTATTTAACTGTCAAAGCTTGCTACAAGCCTTTACAGAGAAAGAATTTTGAACAAAGGGAGATATTCAAAAGCTTGTAAGTTTTTCACACCAGTTGCATACTTTCACATGCTGGTAAACACTGCTGCCTTTTTTTTTTCCCAAATCTAATTTTTGAAATAATATCTTTTTTTTTAATTATTTTTCTTCTCAGCTGGTAAGATTTTTCCCCATCTTTATTTAGAAAAAAAAACACAACAAATTATGATCCGAAACCTCTTTTTTTTTTAATGTGCCCTGCATACTGCTGTTTTCCTATATTGAAAAATATATAATTTAACAAACTGGAGATCCAGCTAAACATTTTTTTAATGAATAGCAATTAACACTTTGGTGGCTATCAGTAATGAGTCAACATTTCCTTAAAAGAAAAAAATGCTACCTACTACTACAATTACTTTTAATCAGTGTCATATATAAGGGACAATTTGGATCCCTGCAAACGGAAATGCGTAGGTGACCCCAACCTTGAGGAGACCCAATTATGCCACTGGGGATCCATTCACCCACACTCATCCAGCTAGGTGACCATGCCCGAATTTACTGATCTGCGACAGACAACCTGAAATGTTCTCTGTATTTCATCTATCTTAAAACAACACATTGACATACAAACTGGAAAAACACCTACAATGTTCAAACTTAAATATAACTAGAAGAAATCAAATGCCAAGCCATAATGAAATGTTCACTTCTGATTCTTCTAATTTCTTGAATTTGCCTCTATATACTGGCATCTTAACTAACCTCTAAAAAAAAGTCTATTTCCACGTACATGATTTTTTTTTGCAATATAAAATATTTAATTAATGCTGTTTTAGAGTAAATGCTTCTGTTGGCATAAAAACAGTGAAAATCGTAACTGTGGCAAGACTGCTTGCACTTTAAGAAACCAAGATGAGGAACTTTGTTATAGCCAAATATCAATAACATCTACTTTTAAAATACCTATTTTAAAATCTGACTACTTAGCTAAAGTTAATTAGTTCATTTATTTCCATAGGAATGTGCTGGATCATATTTGAGAAAACAGTATTTGTTAAATTGTTACTGAGTTTTAGATGCAACTACTTTCTTCTTGTCCTGACCTTGGTTTTATTAGCTAATTAAGATAAAAGTTAAACTTCAGAAAGACAGGCATACCTCAAAGGGACACAGTGCCCTATCCCATAGTAATGAGTTATGGTTCTGTCAGTACCGTGGCTCCAACTGAACTATTTGTCTCTGACATTTTGAGGCTTGTAAATTGTTCCATGGCTGGGAAAAGTGACTGGGGAGAAACCACCCAGTATTTCCTTCCCTTGTGCTTTAGCTTAAGAAATCCCTAAGAACTGCACAATTTAACTTCTATTTAGACATTAAGATCCAATACTTCTCTCCTAAGAAGCCTTAGGTTAGCATTAGGGGCAAGCCCCTCAAGAATTACATGATCTGTTACAACACAGAGCAAACAGTTTGCAGGCTGAGAACTGAGGAGCACACACAGATTAATTACACAAAGCCTCGTCCATACTGCGCTGCGCGAGAAGGCCACCAGAGTCAACGTACAGTACCTTTCATCTTGTCCCAGATCCTCACTGTCTGGCATCTCAGATGTAAGGGAATTGTATCTCCCTCTCTCTACCAATCTAGATAATCCAGGCAATGATCTTCTACTCTGGGTTGTGCTTTAGAAGCAGTAACCGGAGCACCTGTCCTGTTTGCTACTGAGAGGAGCGCTCCTTGCTCAGTGAGCAAATGTTTACAAGACATCCTAAGTGCCCGCTGGTCTTGAATGAAGTTCAGAGCGTTCGTCTTTGATTGGCCAAGGCTATAAATAAACAGGTCGTGACTCACCTCGCACACTATGACAGGGTGTTTAGTAGCGAGCACAGCCAAAAGCAAAACAGTTTTTTTTTTCCTTCAGTCATGTGAGGGAGAATCACCACCCTGTTAGTACATTTTATTTTTCTGCTTCCACTGAAAGACTTCCTCAGCGTCTCCCATGTTTCTCAGGTGTAAGTGAGCAGCAACCTAAATGACATTAAGTTAAATGACACAAACTTTGAAGTAACACGTTTAAAAATACAAGGGCAAAAAGCTTACTGCAACTGTAGAAATATCCTTTTTTTCCTCCCCGCAGTGTCAGTCACAAGCTGTCAGAAAAGCAAAATTCTTGTCCATTAGCTAGTTTCACAGATGAACTAAAAACTTAGTAATTCTTTTAAAATAAGGAACAGGAAAACAAGTGTTCAATAAAGATTAATGCATTGTTCTTAAGTTCTGGCTCCAGGCTTGTCTGCCACATGCAGTCTCAGCTGTCATAGGGATATCAGCAAATTGTACTGGAAGAGTCCTCAAAATGATGAAAGTATGCTGACAAGAGGAGGTTTTCAGCCAGAATACTTCTATGCCTCTGTGAACAACCTAAAGTGAACTGACAAATTCGCTTTCCTTGTATCGCTTTCTGCTGTGTGCATGACAGGGATTCTGTCACTCCAGCTACACCAGCTACATCTCTATTAATTTTCAACACCCCGACAACTTTATCTGTGCTGATGAAGTTTTGTAGCATAGCCCAAGACTCCAAGGATCACACGTGTAAGTTGTTCAGCACTGCTCCTTCATGTGGCTTCCTTCATCCATTAAACAGCTTGAACTATGTTCTCAATATATTTTCAAACAAATATTACATCCAGAGATCTTCACACAGGAATATTCTTCACACAGAGGAGGGAACTCAGCAGGATTTAGACCTGC